TACATTTTATTTTTCAGGATTCACAGATTAATAGAAAATTCAAAAGAACAGCATTTATTTGAAGTAGAAAACTTTTGTAACATTATAAATGTCTTTACTGACACTTTTGATCAATATAATGTGTCCTTGATGAAAAACTAGTCATTTCTCTCCAAAAAAATAATCTTACTGACCCCAAACTTTTGAACAATAATTGGTCAAGAACGAATATAGCAATTCTGTCTGTTTCAGAAAGCAAATAAATACACAAGAGCAGCGGGTCATTCGCGTGTGTGTGTGTGTGTGTGTGTGTGTGTGTGTGTGTGTGTTTAACAAAACCAACACAAAATTCACGTTTTGTAATGACTCCTGATGGCACTAATGTGTGTTTCTGCTCAAACTCGAAACACAGAGACCTTTCATAAACGACAATCATCGTGTGACATTTAGTCTCAGATAACTTTAATTAAATAATCTATTGTACAATTCATCACCTATAGTCTTTCAGACTGTATGATCTATACTATTTACAAAAAAAATATTTTACATGAAAAACATTTGTTACAAAGAAGTCAAAGTAAATGTGTTTGTCCTGAAGGGGAATCAATCCGGCGCGGCACTGGAGCATCATCAGACGTCTCTGCAGGTTTCCACGTTAAATCTCAGTGTCTCTTTATGATCTCAACTGTTTCTCCCGGAGGACAGTGAGGTTAAATAGACATTCATTGCCCCAAAAGACACCAGTAATCTCACACGTGTCTCAAAAAAGTCAATAAACTCGATAATGTCTCAAATATGATCTCAGTCAATTCTCTTCAAATGAGCCGAGCTGCTCCACATTCAGTTCACAGATTTATACTCCGAACTATTGACTCTTTTGAATCTGTATGTCTCAGGAGAATCATGTGAGACCGAGCTGATCTCCTGAGCTTTGAGTGAGCTTTAATAAACAAGCGGTTCTGTCTGTTTGTAGTCGTAGTTTCGGTCGTTTCGGTCTTTTCATCATTTCTCTGGCACTTTGTTGATGACTTTCTTCTTGCGGATGGACACCAGATCATAGAAGGGGTCTTTAGTGATGCTGGCCCTGTGGAGACACGACACACGCATGTCAGACGAGTCACGTGTGTTCAGACGTGTTCAGTGCGTTCCTACCTGATGGACTCGATCCAGTCGTCTCTCTCCTCGGCTGAAGCGGCGCAGATGGTGTACGACTGATGCTTCCCTTCCACCACACGTCCATCAGTCTCCGTCTTACACGCCTTGATCTTCTGACCCCGGCTGTTGGGGTTATACAGCTCCAAACAATACTGCACACAGGTCAAAGGTCACAGGTTAACCAGTGCTAATGATACCACTCCCTCGCTCTGTTCAAACCCTCACTCTCTACATAGACAGCTGTCTTCTTAGGCAGCATATTAACAACAGTGAGCGATTTGCAGCGACAGCAACTGATTCCAGTACAGTCTGATGTTTGTGTGTTTCTAAACTAAAAACTCAAACTACTAGCTCAAATAGTCAATTTTTAATTAGACTGAACTTTTTTTATCAGTAGTTTTTTTTTTTTTTGTACTGATTCCGTGATTGATTGAGAGTGACGGTTTTCATTTCAAAGTGACGTATTTCATGTCATTTTTCATTTCTAGGTTTTCATGTTACATAAATATATATCACACCCAATTTATTTATACGTACTGACTTTTCACGAGGCTGATATTTATTTATTGCGAGATGTATTCAGTGATTTCGTCATTGTGTTTAATTTCATATTTCATGATTTTTTTTTTTTTTTTCATTTTTAAACGTATTTCAGGTGGCATTTCACGTTACATGAAAAACATACAGCTCATTTATGCTTAAATTTCACTCTACATTTATTTATTCATTGCAACATTCCATGACACATTTAATAAATTTATTATGTATTTATTTATTTAATTTAGTCTGTTAAATCGCACTATTCTCAATGTATTGTATTTATAATCAATATTTATTTACAATAAGGTTCCATTTGCAAATACTTCTAAATCTGAGTTTCTCAATCAACATTTCCTCACGAGAATCTCAACATTTGAAACATTATTAAAATCAGAAGTTGCATCTGGTAATATTATTTAATGGACCTGAACTGACATCAACTAACAGTGGTATTTCTATTAACTAAGGTTAACAACGATTAATAAATGCAATGCAAATGTATATCACTGTTCGTGAACGCGTTAGCTAACATTAACTAAGGGGAATTTATTGTGAAGTGGTACTAATATTTCTTCTCTTGCTTTATTGAGTAATTTGATTCTGTGATTATCCTTCTCCTTTGGCAGCTGGCCAAACTGCAGTGTAATGTATGTGTCCACTGTTTAAAGCAGTTACTCATTGCCGTTGACTAGGTTTAGGTTAGTAGCACAGTCTCACCGGTTTGCGTGGAAACATGACTTCCCTCACGCACAGATTCTCCAGAGGAATGATGCCGCGAGGCTCTTTGTCCTGAACACAAACACACAATCACTCCTGATCTACAACCATGCATGCATTCAGAGAGACGGCTGCTGTTCTTACCGTGGTAAATTCAAAATAATACAGGCAGTTATCAGTCAGAATGAACCAGCGTCTCTTCCACGTCTTCACACGGCCGCCTGCCGACAGATAATGCATAACACTGTCAGATGATCATATTCTTACAGTCTGAGCTTCTATTTGACACAAAGACCATGAACCATGAAAAGTCAAAATTATTTAAATGTCTTAATTATGCTAACAAAATGTGACTTTAAATGTCATAATTATGGGATACTAAGTAAAATTATGACATACTAAGTCATAATTATGAGATAAAAAGTCAAAACCATGACAAAAAGTCACAAGTATGAGATAAACTGTCAAAATGACTTTAAAAGTCGAAATGATGACACTATCGAAATTATGAGACAAAAAGGCAAAAAAGCTTAATTCTAAAAGGACAATTCTATCATAATTTTGATTTTGTTTTAATTCATAAATATAACTTCAGGGCTGTACGTTAACTTTTTTTTCACATAGCACTGGTGCTAGCCCTGAACTTAGTATGCAGTAATTTCGACTTTATCTCATAATTATTAATTTTTGTCATAACTTTGTCATAATTATGACTGTCAATTTAGATTTTTTTAAACTCATAATTATGACTTGGTGTGTCAATTCCAACTTTTTATTTCATAATGACTTAGTATGTCAATTTCAACTTTTAAAGTCATAATGTTTACTTTTTTTGATCTCATAAAAATTCGACTTTATCTCATAATGACTTAAAGTCCACACCAGTTCCTCCAGAGTTCAACATCTGTTTTTAGAGATTTTGCTTCAAACCCACACTTCCCTTTTCAGCAGAATGACTAAAGAAAGACTAAAACCCTCAATGCAAAATCAGATAAACTATTACTCTGGTTAAGCTTTGGTCACCTACGATATTAGATGAGATTAGATGTCAAAAGTGAGAGTAAAGACATTTATAATGTTACAAAAGATTTCTATTTCAAATAAATGCTGTTCTTTTGAACTTTC